TCAAAGAGTTTAACAAAACTAATTTTTAATAATAAATTCTAAAATAAACTAGGTCAACTAAAAAGTAAGTGCTTAAAGATTAAAATATTTAGCTCATTAGAGAATGTTTCTTATAAATTCTTAAAATCGTTGCTAAGCGAAATCAATAAAGCTTTAATAGCATTTCAAAAAATTGAGGAAATATTCATTTTTTCAAGCGGCTATATATATATTACATATATAATGATGGCAGCTGGAAGAGCAGGACAAACAGACACAGGATTTAAGGAGAGCAAATTTGATTTTATGAGAGAATTAATTTTATTTAACTGTCACAATCAGATAATGAATATCTAAGAGACGCACAACTCTAAGGGCTGCCGAATAAAAATTAGGGAAAATCTTGCAAAATGAATTCAGAAAAATTTTTCTTTTTAGGGAATAAGGAAAAATCTTGAAAATTATAATTCGTCTATTAAATAGATCAAGAGAAAAAGTCTTTCTCACGGGTAAAATAATGAAATCAAATATGCTTTCATTTCATGTTTTATTCTATTTTTTTCTTTATATTTTATTTTCTGTTTTTATGTGATATTTTTACTTATTGTGTTCTATTTTTTGTTGTAAAATTTTTTGAGAACTCCTCACACTATTGTTTTGATATATTTTGCTTCGGCTATATTGATACAATATTAGAAAGCACTCTTTTTTGTGGATATAATCGTGTGAGCAGATTAAAAGATTATATCTTTTATTTTCCGGATTTTTTTAAAATTTTTGTCTCTTTTTTCGCATTGTTTTTTTTCCCCTTCTTCCGGTTTCTTGTTATTTTCATTCCCCCCCTTCTTTCATTGTTCTGTAATTTTTCCCTTGTTTTCTCCAAATTTTGAGCTTATTTTACGAGTTCTATTTACTTGCAGCTTATGGGCAATAAATAATACTTATTGTTCTTTTAATTTTCTTCGTGTTTTATTTATATACATATATATATACATATATATATATATATATAAAATCTCGTAGTCAGATTCCACTAAATTTAGTATTCTAGATAAGCATTCATGGTTTTAATATCTTTTTATTGCCAGTTCGTATTTTAGATACATATTTAACATCATAATCATGAAATTTATGGCACAATCAGAATAATTAAAGAGAAAGTCTAAAACTCTTTCTGTACAAAATCAAATTAATTTAAAAATCCTATAATGAATTAAAAACTGTTTCAGAATTTTAAGAATATTTTATATTATTCAGAAACTACAGCAACACATAAAATACAATCACAGTCAGTTGTATCACAATTGGAAAAAAAAAATCATAATTTTGTTTACGCACAATAATTACACTACTTTGAAAAATCAAAATTTTATAAATTCATATTTTCAACAAACAATAGCTCAAAAACCAGTTTCTAATTATAAAAAAATGTACAAACTAAAACTGTATAAAAATATCTTTTAAATATTTTTTTCAATAAAGTTTTAAACTTAATTAAAACTTTTTATTTATATAGCATAAATTACAAGTATTTTGTAAATATAAATTCTACCAGAAATAATTTTTTTATAAAAATTAACAGCTGATCTGCATATTACTTACACAAAATATGATGAATATATATATTTTTTAAAATTTTTATAACCGTCATTGAACAGCTGACCCAATTTTGGGGGCTTATGACTACTACTGTAGCCGTAGCTTTGTAATTTTTAACCAACCCAGAAAAAAAGGGAACTCCTAGATCAGTACCCTCAGAGGTATGATTTGTTTTGGGAACATGGAGGAGTTTGCGACTCGACAGATTTATTGTGCATCCATTACCAACCATTTACTACAGGGGATAAATTCTCTGTAGTAAATGGTGATTACAGAGAATTTATTAGAGATAGGGTCTTCATCCGGCGGGGATGGAACCCATGACCTCTTGGACAAGGGTCCAGTGCCTTACCAACCAGGCTACCTCGGCCTCATTATGATGAATATAAAGCATAAGTTACAAAGATAGTTATTTTCATTTGAAGTTAAGTGGGCAGACATACATAAAATTAAAATACTTACAACTGGCCGTGGCCAAACTGCCTTGGGACTGCAGGTATGGGATATATATATATAAAAGCAAAACGGAATTCAACTTTTCAGTTCAATACTTGTATTTCCTTAGAGAATAAAATAAATCAAACAATGATTGTAAAAAAAAAAAAATTGTTACAAAAAATAAATCAATTCAGCACTTATCCTTGCTGATAAAAAACTATAAAAAATCATTAGCACTTTGAATATCATATATAACTGAAATAATTAAATTTTTTATTTACTGATTGTTTCATAACTTTAACTATGGACATTAAATGGACCACACCTAATTCTTGTTTACTTCTTTGTCTTGTATTGTAATTGTTTTTATGTATGTAATAAATGTTCTTTAGGTTAGTTGCTATTCCACTGCACTTTAAACATCTGCTACAGTGATACACTCAAAAAACCCATACAATATTCCACTCGCAATATAGTGAGACAAAATCTTAGAAGAATAAAATGTCATGGAATTTTATATAACATAATTGAAATATCATAAAAGAAAAACACACCAAACTCTAATGTAACAAAATTTATGGTAGGCAATGTTTCTTAAGGAAACATACCATAAATATAAAGTATATAAAAGGCAGAATATAATCTGGTGAAATACCATTAGTATCTAAAAATAGTAAGTACATAAGAATTTTAAACAAGCAAAATGAGGTCACAGATAAACTGCAAAGGAGGTAATTAACTCACATATAAATTCACACTTTTGCTTCAGAAATCTTTATGTTCTATATCATAATATAATATACCAATAAACATGATTCTTACATCAATACAAAATACAGAAGAAATTAATAATCTTTATTTTAGCTTTGACTCACATTTAAAAAAAATAACACTTTTACAATTTTTAAAATTAATATATAAATTCTTGAAAAAATTAAACAAATGTTTTCTTCTATTTTCTCAGCTTACATTTTAAAAAACAAAGCTATTTATAAATACATCAAAAATAATAAATTTTTCATGAGAACACTCACCGGATTTAATATAAATTGTTTTAAAATAAAAACAAAAGATAAAATTTTTGAAACAAATTTCCATTATAACTTACCATTAAAAGTTAACACACATAAATGACCACACAAACAAAAAGGAATATTTTGTTTAGAAAAGTATAAGGAATACATATTAAATTTGTACCATGTATTGAGACTGATAAAACTAGAAACCACAGATCCAGTAATATGCAGTTATCAGTTTATTTATGATAATTCTCTATTGTTTGGAATTTTGCACATTCAAAATTATATACTTAAATTATAAGGTAATATTATTTGAAAAATTAAAAATAATGCAAGTAATTTTTTAGTTAAGTATTGGTCGTGTATTTTAAGCAGGAACATAAAGAACAGTAAACATTTACAAATAAACATGAAAAGTTATAAGCATGTAATGAAGCTGAGTTGTAAAGTCATCAATATTAATTTATTTACTTTATCGACCGTGACTTTGTCAAACATATAAATTACTAGTGTAATTGAAATCTTAGTAATTTTTTAGTTAAGTATTGGCTTTGTTTTTTAAGTAGGAATGTAAAGAATAATAATTATTTACAAATGAACCAAAAAGTTTCAAACATGTAATGAAGTTGAGTTTTAAAGTCATAAATATTAATTATTTATTTTAACGACAGTGACTTCGTCAAGCATAAGAATTACTAGCGTAGCTGAAAGTTTTGCATTAAAATAATTAATATTTCAAATCACATATTTATCAATTTGATTTATAATATTTAAGATTCATACATTGTCAGGATTATTTGCCGTAGAATGGAAATCATACCAATTCTATGGGTCAGAGTATACATAATTTTGCAAGGATTTTGAATAAAAGGAGAAATGATATTTTGATACATTAATTAATATTTTGATATATTTTATTTTGAAATGATATACTTTAAAATAGAACTTTGATACACTAAACTATTTATCAAATATTTTATTTGTTGTAATTTTTTATTGCCTGTATTTGTTTGGTCTTTTTAAAAAAATTACTTTGTTTGATTCCCAATTGGATTAAAAAGGAAAGGATTTGATATTTTAAAAAGCCAGTATGAAATTAAAAGGTTTTAGAATTTGTTAAAATTCAAAATAAATTTGTTAACACTACTTATACTAGTGCCTATTATTTACAGACAATATTTCTAGAAACAAAACAAAACCATAAAATTGAGTACAACAATGAAAAGTAATATAAATATTTTGTATATAAGCTAAAAGAAATAAATATAAAAATATAATAACAAAAGATAAATATTTTTCATAAATATAAAATAAGCATCCAAAATAACCATGGAAAAAAATGACCTAACTAAAAATTTTTCATTAAATATTTCCCCCAAATTTAAATGTATAAAGATACATTAAAAATTTTGATTCAATATTATGTTTAATCAAAATCAAGCTTTAAATATTGCATTAAGAGATGCATTTTCTCTTAAAAACTGTGTATTAGAGAGAGTGTTTAAAGTAACTTTTTTAAAAATTTATAATCAACACAGTAAGTTATATAGCGTATATTTATAGTAATTAAGTATATTTATAGTAATTAAGTATATTTATAGTAATTAAGTATATTTATAGTAATTAAGTATATTTA